CCAGCGTTTCGGCCATTCTAAGACGTCTTGTCGTGGCAGCCTTACATGCGCCCGATGCTCACAGATTGGCCACGATTCTGAAAATTGTACCGCTGCGCCTCTTTGTATAAATTGCAAGGGTGAGCACCCAGCATTTTCACGCCTCTGCCCAAAATGGAAATTGGAAAAAGAAGTGCAGACTGCAAAGTTTACGAGGAACATCTCATATGCCGAAGCCAGAAGATTAGTCCAGAGCACACAGCTTCGACCAAATACATCATACGCCAGTGCTGTAAAATCATCTCGTACAGTCGCCACCCAAACATCAATAGGCACACAGACCCTAGCAAATAAAACCCATCCGTCTACATCCAACAAGCAAAAAGAAAATGCAACCCATATAGTACAAAAGAAAGAAACAGTTATTCAAAGTAAGCCCAAAACTTCTACACATAAAATATCCAATAAAAATAGAAGTCACAGCAATAGCTCTTTTGATGAGATGATTTCTGAATCTGCGGATTCAGACTTTATGGAAGTAGAAGAGGGTCTAGAAGTTCCCAGGCATCTACTTCCACGAAAAACAAAAGAACAGCACAGAAAAAACAAAAACCATTCATAATGGCCACCCTCATGTCATGGAACTGTCGCGGTTTCCACCGAAATTTCCTTGACATCAAATCTATAATAAATGTGTATCATCCTGTGTGCTTAGCAATACAGGAAACAAATTTGAAACCCGAACACCATGCAAAACTTCGGAGGTTTTCTTTCGTCAGGAAGGATAACCATTGCAGGTGAGCGTGCCAGTGGAGGTGTAGGTCTCCTCTCCTCACTGGATTATCCCTCAAATGTACTTCCTTTGACGACATCCCTCCAAGTTGTCGCTACTCAAATAAATTTTGATATTATTGTTTCATTTGTTTCTCTTTGTATTTGCCTCCAAATGAGCACATTTATCAGCAAGATTTAAATAATCTAATAGAGCAGCTGCCTGAGCCTTTTATCATAATAGGAGATTTTTTAACGGCCATAGTCCACTCTGGGGAAGTAAAGATACAAATTGCCGAGGAAGACAAATAGAGCAGATGATCGAAGATCATAGCCTTTGTCTCCTAAATAATGGGCAAGATACGTACTTCCATGAGCCTTCAAGGACATTCCACGCTCTCGATCTTGCCATCTGTTCACCATCTCTGTTGCCATTTTGCACTTTTAGTGTCGGAAATGACCTGTACAACAGCGATCATTATCCTATTTTTGTGTCTCTTGCACGAAGAGGAGCAAACCCCGTGTCGAGAGTCCCTCGTTTTATCCTGGACAGGGCAGACTGGGAACTCTTCTCTTCCGTTGCAGAGCTGACAGAGGAAATGGTAGAAGGTGTGCATATCGATGACGCTGTTGAAGCTGTTACTAATACTATTATTCAGGCAGCTATGCTTTCGATTCCTAGAACATCAGGAAAAACACTAAAATATTCGAAACCGTGGTGGAATCGCGACTGTCATGAAGCACTGAAAAAACAGAAAAAAGCATGGGGTATTTTTCGTAGATATCCTACTCTGCGAAACCTCATAGCTTTTAAAAGAGCCAAAGCAAATGCACGGAAAGTAAGAAGGCAGAGCCAGAGGGATTCCTGGATTTCATATGTGTCCTCAATAACATCCTCTACGCCTAGTAAGCGGGTTTGGGAAAGAGTTCGAAAAGCATGCGGAATGTACAAAGACCACTCACTTTCCTTTCTGGAAAAAGATGGCCGAGTGATTAGCTCCATAGAAGAAATTGCAAATACAATTGGTGAGACATTTGCTGCCGTTTCTTCCAGCCGAAATTACTCACCTGCATTTCTTTCTATCAAGCAACGCTCTGAGAAAAATCCCATCGCTTTCAACTCTTCCAACTTTGAGCCGTACAATAGAGACTTTACTATGGTTGAACTAAAGAGAGCTTTGTTGCAGACACATAGGTCTTGTCCGGGTCTGGATGGCGTGTATTATGAAATGCTAAAGCATCTGTCCTGTAAGTCACTGAGTGCCCTTCTCACACTTTACAATAGAGTGTGGAAGGAGCGTACATTTCCCAGTGCATGGAGGAGAGCTATTGTCATTCCTATTGCGAAGCCAGGGAAAGACCCGAGGAATCCCTCGAACTATCGGCCAATTGCCCTTACCAGCTGTGTTTGCAAACTGTTTGAAAAGATGGTAAACAGCCGCCTAGTCTACTTCTTGGAAAAGAATAATATTATATATCGCCTTATCAAAGTGGTTTTCGAAAGGGGAGAACAACCGTAGATAATATGCTCCTCTTAGAGACATCTATTCGAAAAGCTTTTGTAAGAAGAAATCACCTTGTCTCAATTTTCTTCGATATAGAGAAAGCCTTATGATAAGGCATGGAGATACGGTATAATTCGCGATCTTCACGAGAGTGGCTTGCGCGGCAACCTACCAAATTTTCATTCAGAATTTCCTTGAACGCTAGAACTTTTCAAGTAAGGATAGGCTCTGTTTTGTCTGATGTTTTTGAACAAGAAGAGGGTGTGCCTCAAGGCTGTGTGCTCAGTGTAACTCTTTTCAGCCTAAAAATAAATTCTGTATTAAAACAACTTCCTCCCACCATTTCAGGTTCTTTATATGTTGATGATCTACAAATTAGCTGTAGAGGTGTGGATATGAGACATGTAGAGAGACAGCTCCAGATCGCTTTGAACAGGATCCAGGAATGGGCAAAAAGACAAGGATTTACGTTTTCGAAACAGAAGACTGTGTGCGTGCATTTTTGTAAAAAGCGAGGTCTCCATCCTGAGCCTGGAATTATACCTCAATGGGGTCTGTAATTCCAGTTGCACCTGAAGTAAAATTTTTAGGGGTGATGTTCGACCGAAAATTGACTTTCCTTCCTCATGTCTTAAACTTGAGAAAAAAGTGTACCAAAGTTCTAAATATCTTAAAAGTCCTGGCGAACACCTCCTGGGGTGCAGAGCGTTGCTCCATGCTTCGCATTTACAGAGCTCTAATTCGCTCTAAACTGGACTACGGCTCAGTTGTTTACGGATCTGCCCGGTCTTCAGTGTTGTTAAAACTAGATCCTGTTCATCATCAGGCTCTGCGGATTTGTTCTGGAGCCTTCAGGACATCTCCTGTGCAGAGCCTTTATGTTGACTGTCACGAGCCATCACTCCGTTTGAGGCGTGAGGAGTTGTCCTCTTTTACGCTATTTTAATATTTTATCTCAACCTGACCATCCTTATAACTTGTGTATATGTGAAAATAGCTGTGACCTTTTATTTGAGGCACGTCCATCCTGTGTGCCTTCTTTTCCTGTTAGAGTTCGTCCCCTCATTGAAGAATTCTCCCTGTTTGATATTTCCCCACAGGCAGTACAGCATTTTGAAATTGCACCTTGGGAAAATGCACTAATCCACCTTCTTGACATTTTCCACAATTACGGAAAAACAACTACTGATGAGAGCATCTACAGACAAATTTTTGCTGATCACAGGCAGAGTTACAGGAGTTAGAGTTATGTTCCCATATATACGGATGGCTCTAAGTCAGCTTGCCATGTTGGCATGTCATGTATAATTGGTGACCACATGGAAGGCAGACGTTTACACGACGCTTCCTCTGTCTTAACCTCCGAACTGACTGCCATATATTATGCGCTTTTGTACATCTCAACGCTGCACCATCGAAAATTCATTGTATATACGGACTCCTACAGTGCATTGAAAGCTTTAGAATCCTTTTCTAGCACTGAGAATCCTGTGATAGTGGATGTTCTCAAGTTGAATATTAAATTGAAATGTCGTGGATTTGAACTTCTGTACTGCTGGGTCCCCGGACATACAGGAATAAAGGGCAATGAGCTGGCGGATATCGCAGCGAAATCTGCTGTTGAAATGTCCGGCCGCCTCATCCCTTTTAAAGATATCCGTTGTGTCATAAAAGAGAAGATCCGAAAGAAATGGCAGCAACTTTGGGACCTTCAACATTCATAACAAGTTGAGAAGGGTGAAGCCTAAAATAGAGCATTGGGATACTACTAGCAATCGCAGGGAGGAAGTTCTTTTGACTCGCCTTAGAATTGGTCACAGTAGAGTGACACATAACTACCTTCTGAAAGCTGAGAACGAGCCTATTTGTGCAACTTGTAATGTTTGTCTTTCAGTTTATATCACATTTTAATTGAATGTTCATATTTTAATAATCTTCGTGAGAAGTATTTTAATAGCTGCGACCTGCCTCTCGACCGTTTAATCGGAAGAGAGGTCAATAATAATTTGTTTCACTACCTCAAGGAAACAGGTTTCTATTATTTAATTTGATTTTTGTCCTGAGATTTTATGTTGGAATTTTAATTAATCAGATGTTTTAGGATTTTATATCTATACTGCATCTCTCATTATCAAAGTTATAATCAGCATTTTCATCCCATTATTTAAATATCTTTTTACTTGCCTCGATTTTAAAAGTGTGCTGTTGTCTTTATATTTTTTGTTCCTTTAGTTTGTATGTTAAAAAAAAGAATCCTGTGTTTGGCGCATATGGCCTATTGAGCTTTGCGCCTTAAAACTACTACTACTACTACTACTGAGTATATAAATATGTTGGAAACCGCAATACATGATGTTACCTAGTTTTAATGTTTTTTTTTTTTTTTTTTTTTAACAAAATTCTCTTATTTTCCTTTCCTTTTCTATCTATAGCCCCCCCTTTTTTTTTTAATTATAAATAAAAAGTTTTTTTCCCTCTCCATTACTTTTGGGCCATTTATTTTTTTACTTTATTTTGTCCCATCTTTTCTTCCTGGCCTTTCGAACTCGTATAAAATATACGAAGTTCCTTTTTACTTTCCTCTGAAATACGAAATTGTCCCCCTTTCTATATACCTTTCCTTCGCACCTATGCTTGAATTTTCGCCCATCGGTGTAGAAAGACTTAGCGGGTGCAAGAAAAGACATCTGTCTACTTTGTCTGTCTGTCTGTTTATTACTTTTCTTTTTTGCTGAATGGCAACAATTCTCATTTTTACGAATGTTTAGAACGTACTGTTCTCGTCTTATTTTGATGTTGTTTATTTCAGCAATACTAATTTAAGGCTGCATCTTTACTGAATAAATAGTTGTTTCATTCAACTGGAGAACTTGTAGTTCATTTGAGTGATCTGAAAGTCGTCTTTAACTTTTTGTTTGTAGTTATTCTTTACAGCATGAACAAACCAAGCTTTATGAGTCCTAGGGTGAGAAATCATATTAGTGCCAAACATAACAAATTTATTATTCATGAAATGTGTTCCTAAAAATCATGCCATGTGTATATCGCACTAAATTTGTCTTTGTTCAAATATGCCTGTTTTATATCACCCCCATGTGCGTGCACCAGATACTTTCCTTAACTCTGAGCATTCCAGGTTTGGTCCTGAAATTGTAACATCTTCCAAATTGCCATGAATAAACGATAAACTCTTGATTATATTTCCAAAGTTACCCTTACTCACTTTTTCTAACATATTTGAGCACAATGTATATTGGAAAATATCATACACTGAAAGAAACATCTTATGCCGAATCACCCAACAGAAAAAACTTTACGTATGTGAGGTACTTAAAACTCATTTAAACAGAAGTGTCAATTAAACCTTTATTTGCTTCTTAAAATGCAAGATTTGATATATATTCCTGATGTGAGGTACGTAATAAATCATATCTTATAACTCTTATTTTCAAAGTCCGTATGCTTATTCACACACAAGTGAAACGTCGTCTGTGCGATTGGTTATTGCGGAAAGTTAAATGAAAGAGTTATTTAAAGCACGGTATACTTATTCGCACAGAAAAGAAACCAAGTGTGTGAGGTATGCAGCACATCACTTAGACCGTGTTTCATTAGACGAGCATCTGAGTATTTATATAGGTGAGAAAAAAAGCAGTCTGTAAGATATGTAAGAATTGATTTAGACAAAAGAAAACTTTAAGCAGGAATATGCTTATTCACACATGAAAGGAATTTCACATATCTGAAGTATGTAATAAGTCATTAAGACACATGCTAATTCACACTAGAGAGAAACATCATTTGTGTGAGGTATGTAACATTTCTTCGAAAGAGTTGTTTGAACAACCATATGCATATTCACACAGGAGAGAAACCTCATGTGTGTGTGGTATGAAATAAGTCATTTAGAAGAAAGGATAATTTAAAATGCCATATGCTTATTCACACGCGAAAAAAATCTTGTGTGTGCATTGTGCAACAAGTTATTTGTACAGAAGAATTATTTAAACAACCATATACTTATTCACACTGGAGAGAAACCTCATGTGTCTGAGGTATGTAATAAATCATTTACTCTAAAAGGTAATTTAAACAAACATATGCTTATTCACACTGGTGAGAAACCTCATGTGTGTGAGGTATGTAATAAGTCATTTACTCTAAAAGGTGCTTTAAACAGACATATGCTTCTTCACACAGGAGAGAAACCTCATGTGTGTGATGTATGTAACAAGTCATTTACTCAAAAGTCTAATTTAAACAGACATGTGCTTCTTCACACAGGAGATAAACCTCATACGTGTAAGGTATGCAATAAGTCTTTTCGTGAAAAATTTAGTTTAAACAACCATATACTTCTTCACACAGAACACAAAGCTCATGTATGTGAGATGTGTAGTAAGTCATTTGCTTACAAACACAGTTTAAACCGCCATATGCTCATTCACAGAGGAGAAAAAGCTCATGTCTGTGAGATCTGTAATAAGTCATTTACTCTAAATTGGAATTTAAAAAAGCATATGCTTATTCACAGCAAAGTGAAACTCCGTGAGTTGCATGTGTAACAAATCACTTGTATGATAGAAAAATTGAAAGATGCATATCTGCAGATAATAGTGTTTTTATGTGGTGCATTTAGCCTTGTTATTTCATCTCAGTTCTTAATAAATCATTTATTTGTTTCCACACGAGAAAAACCTCATTTTCGCCAGACAAGTCATTTTAAAGTATTGCTAATTTAAAGGAACATTTTTTTATCCCTAGTATTTAATTAGTAATGAAGAATTTAAGGCAGCATATTCAACAGTGAAAAGATAAGAGACTGATTATACTGTTTTGCATTAGAAAACTTTAAGGATGTCATATTCCTTCCATGTAGGTAATATCATGAATTGTTTGAAACATTAAACTTTTTCATATGAATGGAAATTTCATTCACATTTCACGCAGTAATCCTTTTTTTCAGTGCATTTTTCTAAAATGTAGAGAATGTGAAATATATTGTTTTGTGATATCTTTAGTACTGTAGGACTTATGTATTTTTCAATTAATCATTAAGTTTTGGAACTCCCTTTTTAATGTTGGAATGCTTAGAATTTACATTTTTGTATATTTCAGTATCGTACGTTTAAAACGTTAATTTTGATACTCAAATGCAACATGTAGTGACGTTGAAAAAAAAAAAAATTTCTTGAGGAAGTAAGTTTTTTTTTTTTTTTTTTTTTTTTTTTTTTTTTTTCTGGTACTTATGTGTTAATGCAGACACCTTAATACAAGTTGCTATATTTTTGGTATATGCCAAATTCTGTAAAAATATATTTCGGGATTTTCGTTGGTAATTTTTTGATGCCAGTCCTGTTTTTGTCTGACACTTTCTCTAGTAAAATGGCGTCCAAAAACATATTGCAATAAAACATAACTAAAACCAAAACTGTATAATCTCAATAAATTGTATTTTAAATCAAACAATGAAATAACATATAAAAGGGAATACATTTATCTCATCAACACACCTGCAAAAAGGAAACATCAACTTACCTTATTTAGAAATTTGTGTCTTCTGTCTGTGGCACACAAAATTCCTTAACAGCATCCAAAACCTTCCTAATATTATTTGGACTAGAATTCTGTATACTGCTGTCACCACATAAATTTACAAAAATAAGAGTAAAAAATATCCTCCGGAGTGTCGGTGACATTTCTTGTGACAAACCCATTCAAAGCCATCTGAAGGATCTTTAAGTTCGACTAAATGCATTTTCTTCATACGAACAGGACACTTAGAATGATTACCAAGTAAACCTCCATTTACACACTAGTCAATTATTGCTTTTTTTTCTTTTCATTGCAGATTGTACAGAAACTTCAGATTAATCTAATCACACAGCCATTTTATGGTATAAAGTGCAAGATAAACAACGTACTTCATAACTGACATCGAACACATAAATAAGCCCTTAAAAATATTTTCCTGTCAGTCATATTCACTGCAATCGTATCATACCAAGGTTTTCATAACATTCAACTTCTCAGGTTACCATAAATGAAACAACTTGGCAATAATCCAAGAGGCACCCTAAAATATAGACTAAACCCAAAATCTGGCAACCATGTCCATAACTATACTTCCAGCAACCATACTTCTAATTATTCTTCAGTCAAGCAATTCCGCCATTTTCTGTGCATTTCTTTTTGTTGTATTCCAAAGTACAACAGATTTATAAAGAAATCGTGTTGTTTTTTGCCTTAAACTTAGTTTTAAATATACTCAAATGCAGAATTTGCGAGCAATGGAAATTATTGTGGTAACATTTTTGCAAGTACACAATTTTGCTCAGAATTTTCTAAATTGCGACAGCGAGGAAATGCTTTTGCTCGATAATTAAGTGCTGCATGAACCGAATCCTGAACTCGTACAGAATTGGGTTCGTGTAGCACTTAACTATCCAGGAATTCTCCCATTTTTTTTTTTTAGGTGAAAACAGATAGCTGTGTACTTGAGGATGAGAAAAGTGTAAAATAATAACAGCAAGATTTGAAACAAAATGTGTTTCATTTTTAATGCATCGCTTGATCCCTATTAATTAATTCAAATTTGTATTTTCAATTACATTTTTTTATATTGATGCTGTTTATAAACTTACAATAAATATTGATAGTTTGGGAATCTTTTTAAAATATATGTTCCAAAATTGCCATCTTGCTCCTGATGTGTAATTTTTAGCTTTTCAGGTCCTGTTCGTCGTCTATTATTAAGTGTTCAGTTTTGACATCTGGTTCCTGTGGAATCTGCTGACTGTCATGTTGCCACCTTCAAATTCTTTATTCTGAGTTTCTGAAGAATGTTTAAATATTCCATCTCCATGTTCATGCTGTAGCTTGTAATTACATTGTATTAAACTTGGCTGTTCTTATGTTGACACAAAAATTATTTATAGTTCTGTGATGAGACATGAAAATACGTTTTTCAATTTCAATAAGCTTTCAATCAATTTTTGCATATATCCATGCTGTAAAAAAATCCCATCTGCCTAAATATATAAAAAGGCATTTGGAAAATATATTTTTCATAAATGTAAGAAACGGTTATTTGCTAAATGTGTCTTTAAAAAACAGTTTTTTTGTTTTATTTGTTTAAAGTGCCAAATGAAAACATGATTTTTCAATTTCAAGGACACCCACTGGCTTTCTGTGTCCATTAACACTTATGTACCAAAGCAGAATCTCATATTTATCATATAATTCATGTTTTGTTTGGAAGTGTTTATGCAAATCAACATTATGAGAAATGGGAGCCTAAATTTTTTTTGAAATTTATGGAGATAGCATTTCTTTTATAATGCAACTTTAGAATAAAAAAGAATCTGTAAAATTTTGTACTTTATTGTCTCTTTTATTATTTTTAACACAAGAGAGATTCTGTGCTAGAATTTTATTAAATTAAAACTGCTTAACAATGCTTCCATATACTCTTTGCAGTGTGAATTTATTGAATATAAGTTTTTACAAGTTGGCCTTTGCCAGCATTAATCTAATTTAAGTAATAGCTATAAATTGAGCTATGTGATTTTCTGTAAAATATGATACTATCTAATAGAAATACCTTTGCTTTTTTTAAATTAAGATGTTTAAGAAAACTTAACTCTTTTCAAATTCAGATTAGTTTATATCTGCCTTGTTTGTATGATTGCATCTAGTACAACTTTCTTAAAAATTCCATTTCTTTAGGAGAGTATTAACCCTTTAACTGTCAACTTATTTTGATGATTTGGGTGCACAAATTGTTAAATTTTTTTATTGCAAAAATCAAATGTTTAGTACAAAATAAAATATACTTAAATAGTTAAAAATTGATATTTTGAAGTAGATGGGTAAAATTTGTAAAGTTTTGTAGCCACTGCATATTTGCCTAAGGCGGCTGCCACTCAACATGGCAGTTGTAAAGTTCACTTCTAGTGGAGCATTATTTTCTAAAAATGAAAATAATTAATTATTTTCTAAAAAATTAAAAAAAAATATAAGTGAATACCTATTAGTACAGTAATTCAGTCTTGTGTGGTGCAACTGGAAACAATTTTCCAAGCACAAACCAACTCCACAATCACTACACTACACCAAGAATCGTGTTTCCTTCCTTATCTTTTTCCCCCATTTTTATCCTTTTTCGAACAACCACTAAACTTTGCACTGTCTTGTAGGCTCACGTTTCGCAGGAGGAGGAGGAATATGGGATATAAAATGTCGTTCAGCAAGATGGGCAGGGTTATCTATTGTAGGTGGTCTGCCAACGTATTCTTTTGTCCAGAAGCTGCATCATCATATATATGTAAACGCTCTTCTACAAAAACGTGGATTCGAAATTCTAAAAATGTAATACGTTTCCCAACTACATTTTTATAGAGCAAATATGAGTTCCAGAGTACCTTGTCTAGTAAATGTAAAAATATCTTTTATAATATTTTTTCTGACGTTTTCGGATTGTTGGATGAAAGGATATTTCTTAATCACAGCGATCTACACCACCTATAGTTAGACTTGCAGTCAGAAACAATCTTCGGCTTGAGTATATCTTCCATTTTTTTTTTTTTTATTTTTTTTTTATTTTTGAGGCTGACCATGGAAGTATCATGAATACTGCTCATCAAACACACATCCTTTATCTTCGGTTGAAGAATCTAAATCATCTATATAACGTTTCAAAGAACTGGAAGATGCCATTTTACAACAAAAAGATCCCATGCACTTTGAAACCAAAGACTTAAACCTCTAAAACCTTTGAAATCTTCAGTAAAGTGCTGTCATCTATTGAATTGAGCGCACATTAACTTTCCCCGAGATATAGTCGGGTTTGACAAAGAGATGAAGCCGAAATAAACGTCTCCCGATATATATTCGGGTATAACAATACGATGCACTCAAAAAAAAAAAAAATTACCCAGAGTAATACTCGGGCGTGACAATTTCGAACACCAGTGCTGTGCCCGAGATGATCTCGGGCATGACAGTTAAAAGGTTAAGAGAAATAAATACAAAGTGAAAGTAAATTGTAAGTTTGAAATCAGTATGTTTATTTTCTTGTGCAAATCACAATCTTTATCCATAATTTGGAGGACAAAAACTGCATGTTGCCATTTACCTTCTAAAGCAAGTGCATTTCTGATAGTTGATCAACCATTACCCTAAGATACCTACCCCTAAAACTGTAAGTATTTCTGTGAATATAAATAATGATACAGAGCATCACTTCTTTAAAATGGATATCTTCATGTAAGATCCAATTTATTTGTAAATGCAAGCTATCACCTTGGAAGTTATTCTCTATAAATATGTATGACTAATTTTATCTGATAAACTTAACATAATTTTCTTAGTAATGTAGTAAGAAATATTTTAAATGATGCTGATATTGTGCACGCTAAGATAATTAAACAATTTAACTACATAGAATTTTTTTATTTAGTGAAATATTAGTGGAGTTTCCATTATTAAAGATAGTAAGTAACATATACCAGATTAAAAAATATATCAATAACATTTAAAAGAATTAAATTTCATGATTAAGTACATGTTCTTAAATACTTAGGTCAAAACAAAATCTATTTAAAAATAATATTATCTTTTCCAATAAAGCAGCTGCAGCTACATATCTAAAATATTATTATTTTATAGCTTGTATTTCTTACTTTATGTCTTTACTGTTAAAATGATGACTATATACATATGTAAAAATAAATAACACAATGTAAAATGTTTCTTAGCCTTTGATTTATTCATGATGCAATATATATATAATGTTACTGTGAAAGATCGAAATTGGAGAATGTCGACATTCACCGGTGAATGTTAACATGTACCAAATACGTCGGTGAAAGACCGAATATTTGGTTATATTCTTATACATTCGGACCATCACCAGTGTATGTCGACAATCACGGATATACTGTGGTGGAGGTCGAAAAGAGAAGTCAAGTTGAACAGAAAGGCGAGAGTCTGTCGCCAAATCCTTCGCTCTGCTGCGATTGAAGTTATGTAGCATGTATTTGTTATATTCTGGAACACAAGTTATTGTCAGTGTTATGCTAGGTTTGATGTTACGTGCAACATTTTTTCTTTTTTTTTTTTTAAATCAAATACCGTAATTTATGTTGAATGGATACTGCAGTAAATCATGAACTTTTCTTTGAGAAGTTAAATGCATTAATTGCAAGTAAATGAGAAGACAATTGTTTTTATTTTTCAAACACATCTCGCTTCACCTGGATTGATTATTCCTTATGAAGCTATGTTTGGCATTAAACCAAGAAGAGGCATACCATCATCTTTTTTGCCTGGCGAACAAATATTCTAGCATATATTGAAACCAAAGAAAAACTGTTAAGAAATTGCTAATACTTTTGAAACTGAAGAACAGCCACCAGAAAAGCCTGGACTGAACAACACGAGTTAATTTCTATAAAAAGATTGATCACAAAAAAGAATCTTTTACTGCAAGCAACGAAAATGTTACAAACCTCAAAAAAATTTTTCTCCTGTTCAAATTGGTGATACCGTACGAATACAAGTCCCTGATGTTGACTATGGTCGTACAGATGGCCGAAATGTGTTGACAGTTGTTGGAATAAGACTCCGGCTTTTATAAACTAGCAAATAAAAATGACACCTTCAAGCAGCTTTATACCAATAATCAGTTCGTAATTTGTAAAGAAAAGTTACTTTGTGTAGATGAGATTCCATCTCAAATAATGTCGCTGAGAGAAGCAGCTGCAACTAATTCGAGAAGTAGAGGGCAAGACTGTACATGCTGTCACTGCAAAAGGAAGTGTTCCACAACTAAATGCAGTTGTAAAAGCAAGGAGCTCTTGTGCAATTCAAAATGTCATAAAAGTTTATGTTGTTGCAATTAATAAGATTTCAGTCACATAATTTTTTTTTTTTTTTTTTTTGTATTATTTTCTTTGCAGGGCTTAATTTCTAATATTAGAAGTGCCAGGGCCCTAAGACCATCAGCAAAGAGGAACAAGAGTAAATAAATAAATAAAAGGACTATTAAACTTACTAATAATTTTAAAATTAAATAATTAATTATTATCAAATTAATTAATAGCTATTTAATTGTTATTTAATCAATAACAATTATATAATTAATTATAATTGGTAATTATTAGATAATTATTTATTGAAATAATTAAAGATTAAAGTAATTAAATAAATAAATAAAATTAAATGTAAAGATATAAATTAAAATTTAATAAGCGATTTTTAATATAATTTATTGCTAAAAATAAAATTTTCGAGATAAAATTTCTACTGAAATTGTTTTTCAATTACATAAAAGTAGCAGCCTTCTTATTTAGGGCTCCGGCTGGAATAGTAATTTATCTTAAAAATTGTGAAGTACCAGAGCTCGGCTCCGGTGCAATTTAAGCACTGTCTATTGTTTAAGTTCAAAAGTTTATTTACATGTGCTGTTATTTTTTTCATATTTTAACATATACAGTATAAATACAAAAGTAAAAAAAAAAAAAAGTTCTTTATTGACTACATTTAAATGCTTAACATTTATCCAAGCACGACTACTGTCATTATTATTAAGTAATATCGAGTAGCCCTTCTCGCGTTAGAATCAAACGCTACATGTCGCGCAGTGAAAATGCCTCTATAGAGTTACAAACAACTCTATTATTTATGAATATAGCGCAATGAATTGGAAGTTGATCTGTCGGCACTATCCTTATCTTCAGGGCAGATATTTTTATTTTATTTGGCTTATAATTCCTTACTAAATGTAGTATTTCAGCTCGATGTACTCCGCCTTTGATATGATTTAAATCAAGTTCCTCGTCCTTATAATTCACTTCCGATAGTGAAGAAACTGACGCAGAGGTTATTGAAAACGAAAAAATTTCGATTGACAAATTAGTCGGTATTGTCGACACAGCAATTATAGGACTTAAACAGCGGAACTTTGTAACTAAACAAGAAATTATGTCTGTTTAATAGAATTAAAGAGAAAGTATTATCACATGAAATGAAGCAACTTAAACAACTTACATTGAAAGAAATGTTTAATAAAGTAAACAAATAAATATTAAACTTTTTCTTTTTGTAAATTTTGATACCCTTTAGATCATAATTGTTCTTTATTTCATAAATTATGGTTTCATATTTTAAATTTTATAATTTCTGCATGCCATCTTAACAGATTTAAACTGATGATCGATAATCCGGAATCGCCGAAGTCCCGACGAGTCCGGATTAATGACTTTTGACTGTAAGTACATTTAAACTATATAAAAAAAAAAAAAAAAAAAACCCGAGAAGCAAAATTAGAAGTACAAAATAACATGATGATACAATTTAAACATTAACAGAACAATTTAATTATGTTTCATATACACAGAATCAGTTCTTGCAACACCTGAATGTAGATATCAAATACGTATGCAAGTAAAAATTGTACATTCAATTTATTACTACAACAAAATATATAACTTTTGATTCAGGCAATATTTTAATAAGCTATGTACATTAAATTTATTATTACTACAAAATATATAACTTTTGATTCAGGCAATATTCTTATAAGCTATATAATTCTTGATTACAATAAAACTGTATATATAAACTTAATACGAAAATAGAAGACATAAACTATATAACAAAATTCATGCATTAACAAAACAGAAATATTTAGAATATACCGGTGATGTAAAGTGCATTTATTGCTAAAACTTAATATATAGTTTACTATCAATATGCAAAAATTGGAAATACAGTGAAAAAATAAAATGGCAATATTATATATTAGTAGGTATATTCATAAATAGTAGAAGCAGGTTTTATAAAGATTCATTATTACTGAAAGTAATGTGCAGGTTAAAATTAATTTAATTACATAATTACTTTCCTCGTTTTTTTTTTTTTTTTACTGCTTTGCGAGATGCATCTGTAGCAAATACACTTTTGTGTTTTATACCTTTATCTACACTTTTCACATTCATTAAATTATTTAAATATTTAATTTGTATAAATGTCCTGATTTTTACATACGTCTGGATTATTTTCTCATAAAGCTCTGCAAAGTTTAATTTTAATTTTTCAACGAAGTCTTTTATAACTCTGCTGCCTTTCCGAAACTTTTTAGCATTATAAAGTATGAAGAACTGTTCCATTTCATGAACAACTCTTGCCCATTTTTCTTATAGCTGAATAAGTCCACCATATGAAAACTGGAATATCCATGATGGGATACTATATGAATGATAATTTATTATTTCATACGTGTGGTTTCCAAGCCAAGGGTGATTTTTTTCTATGCTTTTTGGCAATCGACCCAGCTACATATGCACATTGTTTTCCATTTCAGTTCTGGTATTGGATATGCAGTAATCAGCATGATCAACTGGGATATCATGTGGTATCAATGGTGTGGTACAATTTATCTGGCAATCTGAATCCTCTAAATTTTGACTGTTTTCGCAATTATTTTTCTAAATGGAAAAATTTTCATCTCAAGATGCACTTTTTGCAGAGATGTCAGTTTTTCTTGAAATGTCAGCAATAAAATAATCATTATTTTAGTATTTGGGAACAGTTTTGGTTTGTAAAATTATTTCTTCCCAAGATTATCATTCTTATCCTGCTTAGTGCATTTAAAGGTGCTGAGTGATCATTTGGGCCACCCTGAGCCCTTAACTGTGAGCATGTATTTTCAAATGCATCTGATTAAGTGTGTGTGTAATTCATATTGTATGAAGACTAAACTTTTTTAAGCAGCAGCTGTACAGATTTACTAGTTACTAAAATTCCTGTCTGAAAAATCTGTAGTAGTTTAATTTTTACATCTCATAAAGTTAATAGTTTCACGGATTTCATCAACTGAGCTGTTTTGGATTGTTTTGTGTTGTAATCCATAACCAATTTTTAATGGTGTGTGTGTGTGTGATTATGGCAAAGCCTCGAGGGCTATCTGCCTAAGGGGAGGGATGCCTTCGTGGAGGACTTTCTAAGGGAAACTGGCTCGTATACACGTTACACACAATTTTTAATGGAAATGGTACTTCTGGTACATAACTACTTAAAACGTCGGTTTACCAGTCATTTGTTTTTTTAAAATAAATTTTGCAGTTTTCTAAATTTAAACCAGATAATTATTGCTGCAAAGCAGTTGCAGTACTATGGGATAGTAACTCTGCTGCTAACCTAACATTCTGGCGCCTTGATCGTTCACACAATATATGTTCCTTAGTCAACTTAGGGAAAACTTTAAACTCTTTATTATCCTTTTCAATTATATGAATAAGTGGCTCTTTATTAATTTCAATTCCATCTTTTAAAATAAACCCAGTATCAATTAGCTAGTTTCAAAGGATTCTTCTTCTTGAAGCTTGGCTTTCCTTTGGCGCCTTATGTTCCAACTCAAAAAAAAAAAAAAAAAAAAAAGGGATTCGTAAGAAGTTTTCACTAATCTTCGCATTTTCATAATGCTTTGTTTTGCATCCCATGAGTCTTTCTGCCCGCTGCTCGAAAATTCAAGTTTAGGTGCGAAGGAATGGCAGATTAAAAAAGGAAATTATTTTCAGGAAAGGGTGTCAGTTTAAACACCTAGCAAGCACCGGACCACAATTATTTTGAGGAAAAAATAAATAATTTCATAGCACTGGATCTTGAAAGCCAAGTGAGAAAATAGGGTGTCTGCCTGCAGGAAGTACGTCAAGCGACGAAGACCATAGTGAGATAATTTAGCTGTTTCTCCACTATTTGGTGCCAAGGCTGCTCTTCCAGATTTATCCTGACTTTTATAGAGCTAACGTAAACAAACAAGATCATTCTACCTGTTCTTCTCAACTCATTTGTCTAAAAGTTTCTGTTCTAAAGTCTGATAAATGTATAATTGAGCTTTAGCATTTGGCAACAGTGCACTTGGGGAGCATCAAAGCAAAGAATTTAAAAATTGCTAAGTCGTATTTAACACTACGCTGAAAACGCAAAGCTTTTTTTATTTCGTTACATTGGGTTCTTTCGGAGGAAGAAAATCATGGGTCTTTTTGTCTGTGAGGTTTGTAAAAAAGTCGTTTAGACAAATGCGTGAACAATCCGCCGTTTGAAATGAGCTTGAGGCCAAAAGTTGATGGCAAATAACTTGGCGAAGAGATAAATATTAGATATTTCTACATCCATAGAAAATATCGTAACAGCTCCTGTTTCTTCTCCTGTATATCGTGAGTATTTCCAGAAAACGTTGTAGTTTTAAATGGTTTAATCTCTTTCATATATTTTGAAGCAATGAATGAACAAACTAAACTTCATGAGTGCTAGAGTGACAAATCATGTTGATCCGAAATACAAAAAACTTATTTTTCATGAAATGTGTTGCTGAAAATCATGCCATTAGTATAGTGCACTAGATGTGTCTTCTGTGCAATATGTATTAGCATTTCCTATCACATGTGCATGCACCATTTACTTTTCTTAACTCTGAGCTTTCCAGGCTTGATCTTGAAATTGTAATATCTCCCAAAATGCCATGAATATGTCCCAAATTCTTGGTTATATTTCCAAAGTTACCCTCTCAGTTTTTCCACTATATTTGAGTACAACATGTATCGGAAAATGTGTGAAAGACATATATCGGGAAAATTGAAAGAAAGAAAGCTTTCTGTGAGAGCTCATGCCTACTCACCCAACAGGAAAACCTCACATTTGTGATGTAGGTAAAAGTTATTTAGAAAGAAGCAGGAATTAAACCTAAATTTACTTCTAAATGCAGGATGTGATGTAATCATAATGTCAAGTAAGTAATAAATCGTTTATCTGTAACTCAAGTTTGAAGTCCATCTGCTTATTCATTTAAAACAAGAATCTTGTGCATGTGAAGTGTAACAAGTCATTTAGCCTAAAAGGTTATTTCAGTAGTCCTATACATATTGAGAGAGGAAAGAACCCTTATGTGTGAGGTATATGGCATGGCATTTACACAGCATGTTTCTTTAGACAAACATCCGCATATGTGTACAGAAGAAAAAACTTCTGTGTAAGTTGCATAAGAATTCCTTTGGACAAAAGAGAATTTTAAACATACATATTCATGATCAAAAAAGAAAAACTTTACATATGTGAACTATGTAACAAATCATTTACTCAAAAAACTCATTTAAACTTACCTATACTTATTCACACAGGAGAGAATGTTAGTGTGTAGCTATGGAGTGTGTTAGCTATATAATATGCCATTTACTCACAAAGGTTCTTTAAACAACCATATAATTTTTCACACAGGTGAAAAACCTCATGTGTGTGAACTATGTAACAAGTCATTTGTTCGAAAGAGTTATTTAAACACGCATATACTTATTCACACAAGAGAGAAACCTCATGTGTGCAAGTTATGTATTAAGTCATTTAAAAAGCCACATGCTTCTTCACACAGGAGAAAAACCTCATGTATGTGAAGTATGTAACAAGTCATTTCCTCACAAAAGCCATTTAAACAACCATATGCTTATTCACACTGGAGAGAAACCTCATGTGTGTGAGGTATGCAACAAGATGTTTACTCAAAAAACTCATTTAAAACACCATATGCTTATTCACACAGGAAAGAAAACTCATGTTTGTGAGGTATGTAACAAGTCATTTACTGAAAGATGTCATTTACACAAACATATACTTATTCACACTGGAGAGAAACCTCATGTGTGTGAGCTATGTAACAAGTCATTTGTTCGAAAAAGTCACCTAAATGACCATATGCTTAATCACACAGGAGAGAAGCCTCATGTGTGCAAAATATGCAATAAGTCTTTTAATCGAAAAACTTATTTAAAAATCCATATGCTTATTCACACAGGAAGGAAATCTCATGTGTGTAAGATATGTAACAAGTCATTTATTCAAAAATGTCATTTAGACAAACATATACTTATTCATACTGGAGAGAAACCTCACGTGTGTGAGGTATGTAACAAGGCATTTTTTCGAAAGGGCCATTTAAATGACCATATGCTTAATCACACAGGAGAGAAACCTCATGTGTGTGAGATATGTAATAAGTCATTTGCTTACAAGCGTAACTTAAACAGCCATATACTTATTCACACAGGAGAAAAACCTCATGTTTGTGAGAAATGTAATAGATCATTTGCGCAAAAATGTAATTTAAAAAAGCATATACTTATTCACACCCGAGAAAAACTCTGTGAGTTACATGTGTAATAAATCACTTGGATGATAGAAAAATTGAAAGATGCATTTTTACAGATAATACAAGGCTTGCATCTTTTGTGGAAAAGTTAGATTAATAAGAGTGTTTATGTAACTGTACATTAATGACATGTCCATTCCATAAAAAAATGGCATTATATGAGGTGTGTTCAACGTATCCTTTCACTTTAATTCTTAATAAATCATTTATTTGTTTGCACAAAAGAAAAACCGGTTGATCTTTGGATTATGGTAACTTGGCGATTTTTTGGCGACCAACTCTGCTACAGCAACCCTCTGTTTTTTTTTTTTGTTGTTGTTTGTTGTTTTTTTTTCCGCTAGTAAAGGCATGTTTCTTTTCTTTTTATTTACTCAACACTTTTTCCAACAATCTACTAGCCGAATTACACTTATGCTACAAATTTTATGGAACAAAACTGCTTTATCATGACAAATATTAACTGCAAAATTGGGAAAAAGTGCAGAATCGCAAACTTTCCTTGCCGCGTTTTTCAAAATCGCACATACACAGTAACCATGTACACGTAAACTTATTTTTACTTAAAAAAACATCCCAGAATTGCACAAAAATGGCATTGCGCACACTCTTGACTTTATCCATCTAAACTGCTATTTTCTCGTAAATTACAAAAATTTGCATGAAAATGCAGGAAAATTTTGTGAATCTTTAAACTCGGTAAAAAGCACACATGTGAAATTACCTGATCGTGAAAAATTTTATACCCTATCCAAGGACGAACATTTCCACGTATAATATAAATAAAATATACAAAAACTTTTACCTCTGAATTATCCATTATAAACGTCACCAACGAATGCATAACAAAACATTAAAAATGGTTACAAATACTTAGTGTCAAATATTTAAATTATTTCCATGCTCGTTTACTTCCACTCAAACATATACCAAATTGCTACAAACATATAATTCACAAAATAACTATCATTTAATTAAAATATAATTAAGCCATGTGCACGTCGACTTATTTTTACTTAAAAAAACATCCCAAAATTGCACAAAATTGGCATTGCGCACACTCTTCACTATCCATGTACACTGCTTTTTTCTCATAAATTCGAAAAATTTCACGAAAATGCATGAAAATTTTGTGAATATTTAAATTCGGTAAAACGGACATATATGAAATTACCTGATCGCGAAAAAGTATATTCCCTTTCCAAGGATGAACGTTTGCACGTATAAAATAAATAAAATATCCAAAAACTTTTCCCTCTAAATTATCTATTATAAACCTCACCGACCAATTTCTATCGCAAACATTAAAAATAGTTCCAAATACTTAGTGTCAAATACTTAAATTCTTCCCATGCACATTTACTTCTACTCAAACGTATTCCAAAATACTACAAACATATAACTCTCAAAATCATGATCATTAAATTAAAATATTAAATTAAAAAACACTACTTAAAATATAAATAAGCACATACATTAAATTAATAAAAATTAGCTTACAATCCTAATTACTTTAAACTAAATCATTGCTAATAACAATTTTCCAATAATACCATATTAATTTTACTACTTACATTTAGAACAATGCATAAAAATAATATCCTCAAATAATTAAAAATACTAACTTACCTAATCTTCTACAGAATCTTGAGTGCATGGCAGATAACAAAATGTCCATTTTCACCAGATTTCTTGCACCGCCATTCAAACTTATCTAACGCCATTCAAACTATCTGTAATATTCTTCCTTTCACACAATCTCATTTCATACCCACATGTTGGACATTCATACTTATCCGCAATTAAGCAATTCTTTTCAATTACACATAAACGGAATAAAAATTTCGGATTTACTTTATATAGGGCCATGGGATCCAAATATTAAACAACACTGTTTCACAGAACATAGAATGAAACTAATGCTGTACAGCAGATATTTTTAAAAATTTACACCCTTTTCCGATTAAAGAACAGTGATTCGTCCATTAATGTCACATGACATATCTCGTACAACATTACATTTCCATTTTTACATGCATTTCCCTCACACAAAATAATGCGTAATCGGAACTCCGTACTTCTCACATTATTCCCAAAGTCCTAGGTAGTAACCTTTATCGCCGCTAAAATGTTGCCAAACTACCTGTTACCATATTCCAAAGATCAGCCGAAAAACCTCATTGGTCATGAGGTAAGTCATTTTAAAGATTTAAAGCAATATTTTCTTATCTTTGGTATTTAATTAGTAATGAAATGTTTAAAACAGCATATTCGTACAATGAAAATGTAGAGACAGAGTATAGGATTCTGGATCAGGAAATTTTATGGATATCACATTCATTGCATCCAGGTAATGTCATATGAATTGTTTAAAAGCTTGAAATAATGAGTACTTTCATTTGAATGGAAATTTCATTCCCACTTTGCACTGGAATCCACTTTTCATTGCATTTTTGTGAAATGTGCGGAATGTGAAATATAGTACAAAGTCCAAAATCCGGACTCGTTGGGACTTCAGCGATTTCGGATTTTTTTGGATATTAGATCGTCAGTTTAAATCTAGTAAGATGGCATGTAAAAATTATAAAATTAAAAATATGAAATCGTGATTTCTGAAATAATGAAGTATTTATGATCTAAAGGATATCGAAATTTACATAGAAAAAATATTCATTTGTTTACTTTGTTAAACATTTCTTTCAATGTAAGATGTTAATGTTGCTTCATTTTTTGTGGTAATACTTTCTCTTTACTTCTGTAGACAGACATAATCTCTTGTTTATTTACATTGTTACATAATCCTGTAACTGCTGTTTCGAGAATTCCGACTAACTTGTCAATCGAAATTTTCTCGTTTTCAGTAACTTCTCTGTCACTTTCTTCACTGTTGGTAGCGGTATTTTCTCGATTTATGTCCATAGTACAGATTTCACCATTCATTAATTGACTAATGATTGAGAAACATTGTCATCACAATGAAAAACTTCTTTTATATCATCTTCATTTATTACTGCTTCTCTGCATTACTTTACAAAATTCATTAATTGGAAAATTTCACCTTTGTTTTGTGATATTCGAAAACCTTTAAAATGAGTGGTTATCATCATCAAATTTAGCTATTCTTCACTATACATATTTGGCTATGCATCATGAGCTTGGTGATTAACCACAAGTTGTTATGTTAAAATTTTATCTTGCTTCTATCGTGCACTGATACAATTAAGCCTGAATTGCATTAGTTATTTATTAGACTTATGCTGATTTTTTGCACATGCTTATCAGACTTCTGAATAAATAAATTCTTACATATACTAAAATCTTATTGAGCACCAGCGCTAGATATTTTATCACCTCATGCAGTCTCTGTGGGTCCTAAATTGTGCGACCTGGTGTCATTTTTTGCCGGTGCAGCCATACGAGCCCTGGTGCTGGTTCTGGGTTTATGTGAATAGCAAATCAATTATTCTTAATTCAAATAGCCCTAAATGTAATCTTCAGATCTATGAGTATCATCAACAAAATCTATTTTTAGCATGTCGAAAGAAATTTTTGATAACTTTTCCTCGTCAACATTTTTTAGCACATTTAACTTAAATCTGTAATCATCACCAAGCGTAATGTCAACACAAAACGTTACCGTACTCCTTTATTATTCAATGACTAACATAAAAAAATTGTTTTGGCATCACTACATGAGTCATTACTCAAATTGTCATGTTTTGATAAACAGCGGTAATAAATGAAGATGATATAAAAGAAGTTTTCCATTGTGATGACAATGCTTCTCAATCATCAGTCAATTAAAGAATGGCGAAATCTCTACTATGAATATAGATCCAGAAAATATCACTTCCGACAGTGAACAAAGTGACAGAGAAGTTACTGAAAATGAGAAAATTTCGAATGACAAGTTAGTCGGACTTTTCGAAACAGCAGTTACAGAACTTCAACAATGTAACTAAACAAGAGATTATATCTGTCTACAGAAGTAAAGAGAAAGTATTAGCACAAAAAACAAAACAACTTGCATTGAAAGAAATGTTTAAGCTTTTTTTAGTGATAAGCGAATAAATATTAAACTTTTTTTTTGTAAATTTTCATACCCTTTAGATCATAAATACTTCATTATTTCATATATCACGATTTCATATTTTTAGTTTTATAATTTCTACATGCCATCTTACTAGATTTAAACTGATGATCTAATATCCAGAAAACTCCCAAATCCGGAATCGATGAAGTCCGGATTTCGGACATTGCGCTGTATAAATAGAGTCTTAGCCTAATTAAATAAATGTAAGAAGATCAGTTAAGAAAACTTATTGTCACATAATAGGGTTTTAAAAACCATGTTTAAACTTTCAGTAATGCCTTCCCGTGGATTGCCAAATATTTTCGAATGCACCTTTTTTTTGGCATCATAATAGTACAGTCAAAAGTCGTTAATTCGGACACCCATAATCCGGACCTCAAAGCTACAAACTTTCTGCGCATGCGTCGCGTTGACGCATGCGCATAAGACCTTTACGGCTGTGAATATGTGTGTGCGCATGCGCATAATACGTTTACGCATGCGCGTTTAATGTATAACGGACGGTATAAGCTAAGCTAAAATTATCTAATTCAGTTAATGTTGCAGATTGTGTTGTTCCTTAATCTTCGAATTGGATCTGGCTTATTATTTTTTGCAGACTGTTAGAGCAATTTTATAAAAGTAAGCTTGACCTTTCCATTATGTCAAATAGAATTTCCGATATATATTTACTAATATGTAATGGATCTATAAAGCAAAAGTATGTTTCAAAGTCCATTAAACAGAAGTGGAATTGCTGCAAAAAATGGATAAAGGCATATCCTTCGATTATCTAATCATTCCGAAATATATTTATCAATTTCACGCTGCTCTGCCAGGGGAGAGAAACGACGCGGCGCGCAATGAATTGGAAGTTGATCTGTCAGCACTATCCTTATCTTCAGGGCAGATATTTTTATTTTATTTGGCTTATAATTCCTTACTAAATGTAGTATTTCAGCTCGATGTACTCCGCCTTTGATATGATTTAAATCAAGTTCCTCGTCCTTATAATTCACGTCCGATAGTGAAGAAACTGACGCAGAGGTTATTGAAAACGAAAAAATTTCGATTGACAAATTAGTCGGTATTGTCGACACAGCAATTATAGGACTTGAACTGCGGAACTTTGTAACTAAACAAGAAATTATGTCTGTTTAG